GTTGTGGGTTCGATCCCAACCCGTATGCCTGTAGTTTGCGAGTTATCCCCGTGGCTGCTTGGGTTTTTCTCCGGGCCCTCACGTTTTTCCCTTCCACATTCATAAACAACATGCGTTTAGAGTATTTGGCTACTGCTATGAAATTCCACAACGATGATGAGCCACTTTGATGACTCAGCCACTTTGTTGAGCTATCACTTGTGGCCAGGTCACTTGTGAAAAAGAGCTCCATAGCTCAAGTGCTGCCTTACCTGGTGAAATAAAAATAGTTTCTGCTTGGGGACAGCCGAACTTAACCACAGCCCGTGCTAAAAATAGTTTAGGCGATATGCTGCGAGGCTGGCACGGCCCGGTTTCATTCATTCGGGTTTTAATCGCTTTTTATATAAAACCGGAGCACCTGGATCCTGCCCAAATCCGGTTTTATTAAAGTTAAGTCGGGATTTCAGTCGCAGGCACCCATTAGCGGCGTTCGGGCCGGGGCCCAGGCTCAGCGGCCATGCGCGCTCCAGAAGATCGCCGTCAAACTGTTCAGCGTGGCCACGTCGACCGCCGCTGCTGCTGCTGCTGCGTCTGAGCGGAAATTCTCGACGATGGGATTTATCCATTCCAAATTGAGGAACAGCCTGGCGCCCAACTCAGTCGAGAAGCTCGTCTTCATTAAGTCAAACCCCAACGCGTTCTACGACTACCCCACGCCCGACGACGGCGACGACAACACCGAGTCCAGCGGCGAGAGCGACGACGAAGACGACGCGGCGGCGGACAACGACGAGGAGCAGAAGGATTGAAGTGTGCACGAGACGCCGATAATAAAACCAGGTTTTAATCGGCAAAATCGGGTTTAACTCCATTAAAACAAATAACCCGATTTGTCGGGCAAAATAAATCGGGTTTTTCCCACCCTTGATATGTTGCTTTAGAATCGCTTACCTCTGTGCACGGTAGGGGACATTTCCGGGTCATTCCGGTCGTGTAAAAAACATCGCATGGGTCAAACGTGCCGGAGAGACGCACCACCACCGGCCTTCACTGGGGCCGCGGGCTGGGCCACAGAGTCCCCAGGAGGTTTTTGCGTCGACAGCGACACCCACAAAGTGGTGGGTTCCAGGCTGCCTGCGGGTAGTCCGTGCAAGTGGCTCTTACCTAGAATGTCAGGCAACTGAGTAGGCTACAATATGGGACATTTCTTGCCAGTATCAAAATATAAGAACAGCTTTTTTTTACCCTTTCTGGCAATAAAACAGGAGGTGTTAAGATGTTAAAACATCAAACAGAATCCTTTTGCAAGGAATTCTGTCCGCATTAATCACACGCGCTTGTGGTGAACATGAAAACACACGAAAAATACATGCTCCAATAGTATATGCAATGTCTTTCTGTTTGGTGTTTTAATTTATTAACACCTGTTTTATTGCCAGAGAGGGTATTAAAAACTGTTCTTATAAGCTGAGGAGGCGTTTGTTTTCCAGGCTAAGCCCTGCCCGGTGAGTCTTCAGTCGAAACCGGTCCAGGGATTATTTGCTGCTGCGACAGATTTTGCTGATGAACATTGGGGGGGGGAGGGGGTAGAGATCTCCAACACGGCTCAAAATATTAACAGTGCTGTATTCTACTGTTTGGGAGGTAAATAAAAGCGCTTGTCCGTTATTCATTTATGATTGTGTTCTCGTTAATATTTAACAGAGATAAAGCCACGCAGGTCTGATTTGGGTTTCCCGGAACCGGCTCTTCGTTGCGAGCATCTCCCCCCCCCACCGCCTCCCCTTTTTAAATTTACCTTTCACGTCCACCGATGTTTACCTCGAAGACAGATGTACCAGGATCATCTCTACCACTGCCCACACTATGCCCACATTACCTACCCCTAGAACAAAACAGTTCAGTTAGATGTCCTTCACAATCAATGACCAGTGCAGCAAATTATATTGTTGTACCGTACTTCGATAACCCCACCCCCTCCTCCTCCAGCTGCTGTAGGCTCCCCGCCTTCACGAACAACCCGCACGGACCGGCAGGGTGAAGTATGGCCAACCCCGCCTCAGCCCGCATGGCGTGGGAAGACCCCTCAACCCTGCAGTGGATTGACAAGAGGATTGTCAACTAAACTGTCTAAACTATTTTTTTTATTTTACCAGATAAGGCCCATTTAGCTATGTAGCTCTTTTTCAGAACGACCTGGATATCACAAATGATAGCTCAACGAAGTGGCTTATCACGTGCAAATGTATAGCCGCCAAATACTCGAAACGCGTGATGTGGATTCTAAATGTGGAGGGGAAACCCCGAGGACCTCAGAGAAAAATCCACGTGACTATGGGGAGAGAGAGACACAATTTACAAATATACAGCAGCAGGCATCGTCAGGGTCGGGATCAAACCCACACCTCCTGTATACGAGGCGAGGTAGTTAACATCTCCTAGCCACCGTGATGATGATGATGATGATAAGAGAGAGAGACACGCAAACTTCAGGTATATAGCAGGTATCGTCAGGGTCGGGATCGAACCCACGACCTCCTGTATACCAGGCGAGGTAGTTAATATCTCCTAGCCACCCTGGCGCCCGACTGTTCACGTACAATGAGCACCCTGGTTGGCCAGGCGGCGCTATCGACAGCAAAAGTTTAGAGTTAAAATCCTGCTTGTGGCTCAACATCATTATCATAATCATATTCATCCCTCTAGGGTTGATTCAATTAGTCCTATCGATGTATTGACAACTGTCATGGGAATGTGGAGTTTCCACCACTGTTTCATTTAATCAGGGAGACATTGTGACATGATACATCACACCCGCGATGCTTACCATCACATTAGCCCGCCTTTTTTTGGGAACTTGAAACCCCTATCCGGCGTTGAGAGTGGTACGAATTTCAATGGGCGACTCTCGTCAGAATATTTATTTATGCTGGAGGAAATCCGATGAGCTATGAAGCTCTTTTGTGACCGTTGGGGGTTCGCCAGCTGTTGTAGGCATGGGGGCTGTGACGTGACTTTAGTGTGAGCACCTCTCTCCGTAGCGGGGGGTTCTCTCCCGGTTCTTGGGTTTCCTTCCCACATGAATCAACCGCAACCCCCGAAAAATGAAAATCTGCCCAAACATCCGAAAGCAAGACCCTCCTGAAAGTCTTAAAAGTCTTGAAAAGACTCATTGAGGATTCCTGGGTGAATTATTGGGAATGTGTGGAGTGTTTTTTTTTTCTTCACATGCCTATTCAACAAAAACAAGCGATAGCCTCGATATCAAATAGAAAAATACATTTTTTTTTTACAAAAATGAGAGCATTTTCCCTAAATAAAATCTTGGCCTGTGAGATTCAGAATTATTTCAACATAACTCCCACCAAGCAACAATAAAGACTGAACGTCTGTTTAATTTTTTTTAATTTTCTTTCTTTGCTGCTTGTTTTTCTAAAAGTATATTTATTTATTTGTGAGTGCCCAGCACGAGTAACAGCACATGCTGTACTATAGTGTGTGCCGGAGTGTGTATGCGTGTGTTTGTGTAGTCAAGCGTGTGTGTGTGTGTGTATTCAGTGTGTGCGAGTTCATATCCGTGCATATTCATGCGTGTGTCTATGTGTGTGTTTTCACGAGCGACCAACGCTCACAACAACGAGTGGAGCGTCGGGCGGCTAAAACGTAGCGGAGGTGGCGCAGCAGGCAGCACAGGTGGTGCATCAGCCAATCATCTCAGTCTGTGAAGCCATGGCACCTGGGTCTGTCCCGTGACCGCCTGCCAGCAGCGACCCTTCGACACTTCACGTGGCCTTAAAGTGCACATAGCCTGGCACGAGCGCCGTGGTGACGTCACCGCCACTTAGTGGCGAATGGCGGTTGTTGTTGAGTGGATGAGTATGTAGCGCTGTAAATGGGCTGCGTGCACTGCAGTAGCAGACAGGGCCCACCAGGGGCAGTACCTTGCACCGGCAGGGTGGTCGCTACATTCCCAGCCCCAACGCAGGAGGGGGCTGCGGGGTGTCCTAGGATCCCCCGGGATCCCCCCCTCACCCCCCGGAACTCCCTGGAAGGGAGGCGTGGCCAGGGGCTGACACACCTGGGAGGTGTATAAAAGCCGGACCTCTCAACGGGTCCGGGGCAAGTCCAAGACAGAAGCTAGAAGACCAGCTAGCCAGGACCCTGGGACCCCTAGCCCCGACGTCCTTGTAAGGGCCGGGACTCTGTGAGCCCGTGGTGAGACCCTGAGAACCCCCGACCTGACGTCCTTGCAAGGGCCCGGATCTGAGTGGGCCAGTGGTCAGGACCCGTACCTTGGCTGGGTCGGGTCAGCGTAGCCTCCCCACGTAGCCGGAGGACTGAGAGCCGTAGCCCCGTGTTAGGACACACTAGTCCGGAGGCTGTACCCGTGTTAGGACACGCTAGTCCGGAGGCTGTACCCGTGTTAGGACACGCTAGTCCGGAGGCTGTACCCGTGTTAGGACACGCTAGTCCGGAGGCTGTACCTTCACAGGTAATAAGTAAAAAGGGCTGTTGCCTTAGTGAAGGCTGGGACTGTTACTGTTAGCGTTTATTGAAATAAACTCGTTGCCTCTACGAGTCGTCTCCGCTCTCCGTGAACCCACTACAAGTATATGAGTGAGTGGGTGAGTGTGTGGGTGGGTGAGTGTGCGGGTGGGTGGGTGGGCGTGTGAGTGGGTGGGTGAGTGGGTGACTGAGTGGATAAGTGGGTATGTGAATGGGTGAGTGGTTTTGGCAAGTGATCGAGTGAGTCGATAGGTGACTTTGTGAATGGGTGAGTGAGCGAGTGGATGAGCGAGTGAGTGTGCGAGCGAGTGGGTGGTTGAGCGTTGTGACCTGCGGTCGTGGCGGTGGTTGAGCACGGAGTGGATGAGATAAAACAGCTCACCGGGTCCTCCAACATCGATGGAGGAATCGACGAGCAAAGTTCATGGGAACAGCGACCACGGTAGAGGGACGGTGCGGTGGTGATTGGGGGGGGGGGGGTCTAAATAGGTTAGCACCGCCAGGGGTCTCACCGCGTGTCCGGGATGCGAGGGTGGTGGGACGAGGGGCGCCGTGGGGGCGAGCTCGATGGCCTCCGAGTCGCTGGTGAGAGGCGCGACCTCTTGGTCCTTCCCGAACACCAGGGCGCTCAGCTTAGACTTGAGAACCATCTGCGATCGCACACAAAGACAAGAATCCCCCCCCCGTGTAGCCTTTAACGGACCGATTTAAAAGGGCTCTCGAGCCACTGGTGGAAACGGCACATTACTCCAGCGGGTGGCAAGTTCGCTCCACAGGTCAACTGCCGTGTGACTTGCATACAACTCGGTGCTACTTGTTGCAATGACCCTGCAAGGGTTGATGATGGTGCTTTGTGACGATGATGACCACGGACTGCGGAGCGTACGCAATGAACGAGTGCCGTGCACGTGTGTACGCAAGTAAAACTTCTTTCGCACAGTACGTAGCCAACCGTGCTAATCAGAGGTGCAAGGGAAGGACTTGGCATACGAGAGGGTTGGTGGCTAACATCAGACCCGGCCAACTTAAGTCTCCCGCATTAGTGATATTTCCAAGCCACACCACCAGGAACTCATTAAGGCCGAGTCAAACTCGGTTGGCCTGGTTCGTGGCGCAGCGTGCTAACCACCGTGCCACCGCTCCCAATTGAGATCGTGCCCCGCTGCGTTTTAGCCGTCGAACGTTCTTGGCGTCGCCACCATTCCCGCTCCCATCGTTGGCGAACGGGTGCCAACGTTTGAATGCACGAGGGACGCCACGGTGGCTAGGAGATGTTAACTACCTCGCCTGGTACACAGGAGGTCGTGGCATTCCATACAAAAGGTGATGGGGTTCGATCCCGACCCTAACGCCTGCTGCCGTATATTTGGAGTTTGCGTGTCTCTCTCTCTCTCTCCCTCCCCGTGGTCGCGTGGATTTTTCTCCGGATCCTTTGGTTTTACCCTGCACATTTTAGAAATACGTGTTTAAGAGTATTTTGGCTGCTATACATTTCCACGTGACAAGCCACTCTGTTGAGCTATCATTTGTGGCCTATATTGCTTCTGAAAAAAATTGCTATATATATAGCGCAGCGTTGCCTTACCTGCTAAATTAAAAAAAAAAAATGTGTTTGGTTTACAGTTTGAGCATGATAAAAACTCAGTTAAAAATATATAAACGAGCACCCACCATGTTGTAGGGCAGGCGGGGAACTCTTTGTTGGCGACGTTGCTGCTCGTTCACCGTGGGCAAATGTTCACACGATGTTCACCGAGTTCCTGGGCTCGAGTCCAGTTTTCAGCAGCTGAATTAAATAAACGAAATCGTTTGAACACGTAGCAGGCTTTCGCGACCAATGTCATCCATAAGAGGGTTTTTTTTTTTGGGGGTTAGATCGCGTAAAAAAAATGTGTCGTTAAAACCCACCACCACCCAACGCAGCCAACTAGTAAGGGTTGTCACGTTAACAGAACGTGGCCAATTCGTCACTAGTACAGCACACCGGTGTGTTGGAGAGGCAATGGACAGGAAGGATAAGATCAAAGGGCTCACATAATGCACATGTACAATGAACTCATTAATTCCCCCCCCCACCCCAACTTTTCGCAACAGCGCAGAAGCGTGGTCACCACATCTACGCCTCTATGTAAGGAACGAAACGGGTGGACTTCTCCACAAATCTGGCTGTCGCCTGATGAAGCCGGTTGTAATTACTGGCGAAACGTCGTACTCGGATTGTAAACGTTGTGGCTTGGCTCTCCAACACACCGCTGTGCTGTGCTAGTGACGAATTGGCCACGTGCTGTTTACGTGACAACCCTTACTAGCTGGCTGTGTCGGGTGGTGGCGGCGGGTTTTAACGACACATTTATATATTTACACGATCTGACCCAACAAAAACCCTCTATTATGGACAATCACCCGTCATCGTCGCGACGATCACCTATGATCACGGGTACAATTACCATCAGTGCCACGATCATAATCCATTTATAAACGTTCGTAAAGATCCACGAGCAACCGTATCTCTTGCATGGCGCAGCAGCACACCGTCGTCATCACCGCACGTTCCAGCGCACGTCATCACCCGAGGTGGACTTTCTTTGCCTCTTCGTCAACGCGGGGTTAAAAACCGCCACCGAAATGCATCCTCTGTGACTTTTCTTTTCGCGGCCAAACAACGAGCGTCTCGGAAGTGCTGGCAATGCCACCGTTATCCACAGATATCCGTGATTTAGGCGCCACCAATAGCCCCCCCCCAACACCCATCACCACGCAGGGCTGCCACGTGAAGGTCACGTGACACTCCGATTTCCGCACCTCCGATAAGCACGGTTGGCTACGTACGGTGCGAAAGAAGTTCAACTTGCGCACACACACGGCACTCATTCATTGCATACACTTCCCAGCCCGTCGTCGTCATCGTCATCATCATCATCACAAAGCACCATCATCAACCCTACAGGATCATTGCAACAAGTAGCGCCTATTTCTATGCAAGTCACACGGCCGATGACCTGTGGAGCGAACTGGCCACCCGCTGGAGTAATGTGCCGTTTACACCAGTGGCTCGAGAGCCCTTTTAAATCGTGCACCGGATGAAGAATTGCATTCTTACATTTCAAGTAAGAACACCACGTGAGAATGCGCGCAAGGCACGATGGGAGCTGTACCTTCCTACTGGTTGTGAGCACACCTTGGCGCGCTATTCAGTCGAACTGCCCACAGACATTTACGACTGAGTGACGTTATCCAACTCGCGACACTGCAATGTCTGTATTTGCACGAGGCGGGAAAAATGTTGGGTTACACTGCCCCCAAAAACACGGAGGTCTGTCTGCCACATCGGAGGCACATCTGCCAAACTTACAACGAACTGCCAAGCCAGCAGTTTTTATCAGCTTCCTTTCATTTGGGAATGCGCACGCGCGCACGCGCGCGTGTGTGTGTGTGCGGGGAGCGGAATGGTGTAGCGGTGAGCACGCCGCGTTTATGAACCCGGTGACCCGAGTTGCATTCGCGCCTTGATGGCCAAAATTAAAAGCGAATCTCCCAACCGGTCTTGGGCCTCCCCCATAGGTCGACTCGGCCTCAAACGAGAACCTCGTGCGGTGTGTGAACGTCGACACTTGGACACACCAGGAGGTCTATTCACCATAATTATGCATCATCTGCGAACCCAGTGGATATTCAAAGAAAGGCATCGCGGTCCAAATGTTTTAAATTACTCGCAAATTATTTAAATTCGGCTTAAAGGACGTAGCTACATCGTTCACTTCTGCCAGAGGATGCTCGTCTGTGACACGTAGCACATTTGCGATAGCCCTGCGCTGCAAGACTGGTGGGAATATCAAATGTACTTAATTGAGTAGTCGTAGTAGTCGCAGTAACTGCTATCATCAGAAGAGCGGAACCGGGGGGTAATTTGAGCAGCTGTAGAGATACTTCAAACTTGGTCAAAATGTAGTTCTGTTTCGCAAGTCACGGTGGCATCAGTGGCGATCCTAGCTTGGTCCGAGTTGCTACCGTGTATGTGTGTGCGTTTATCCGTATGTGTGTGTGTGTGTTTATCCTTGTGTGTGTGTGTGTATCCTTGTGTGTGTGTGTGTATCCTTGTGTGTGTGCGTTTATCCTTGTGTGTGTGTGTGCGTTTATCCGTGTGTGTGTGTTTATCCTTGTGTGTGCGCGTTTATCCTTGTGTGTGTGTTTATCCTTGTGTGTGTGTGTGTTTATCCTTGTGTGTGTGTTTATCCTTGTGTGTGTGTGTGTGTGTTTATCCTTGTGTGTGTGCGTTTATCCTTGTGTGTGTGTGTGTTTATCCTTGCGTGTGTGTGTGTTTATCCTTGTGTGTGTGTGTGTTTATCCGTGTGTGTGTGTGCGTTTATCCGTGTGTGTGTGTGTGTTTATCCTTGTGTGTGTGTGTGTGCGATTATCCTTGTGTGTGTGTGCGTTTTTCCGTGTGTGTGTGTGTGCGTTTATCCTTGTGTGTGTGTGCGTTTATCCTTGTGTGTGTGTCTGTGTGCGTTTATCCGTGTGTGTGTGTGTGTGCGTTTATCCGTGTGTGTGTGCGTTTATCCGTGTGTGTGTGTGTGCGTTTATCCGTGTGTGTGTGTGTGCGTTTATCCTTGTGTGTGTGTGTGTGCGTTTATCCTTGTGTGTGTGTGTTTATCCTTGTGTGTGTGTGTGCGTTTATCCTTGTGTGTGTGTGTGTGCGTTTATCCTTGTGTGTGTGTGTGCGTTTATCCGTGTGTGTGTGTGCGTTTATCCGTGTGTGTGTGTGTGTGCGTTTATCCTTGTGTGTGTGTGTGCGTTTATCCGTGTGTGTGTGTGCGTTTATCCGTGTGTGTGTGTGTGCGTTTATCCTTGTGTGTGTGTGCGTTTATCCGTGTGTGTGTGTGTGCGTTTATCCTTGTGTGTGTGTGCGTTTATCCTTGTGTGTGTGTATCCTTGTGTGTGTGTGCGTTTACCAGTGTGTGTGTGTGCGTGCGTTTATCCGTGTGTGTGTGTGCGTTTATCCTTGTGTGTGTGTGTGTGTGCGTTTATCCTTGTGTGTGTGTGTGCGTTTATCCTTGTGTGTGTGTGTGTGTGCGTTTATCCGTGTGTGTGTGTGCGTGCGTTTATCCGTGTGTGTGTGCGTGCGTTTATCCGTGTGTGTGTGCGTGCGTTTATCCTTGTGTGTGTGCGTTTATCTTTGTGTGTGCGTTTATCCTTGTGTGTGCGCGTGCGTTTATCCGTGTGTGTGTGCGTTTATCCGTGTGTGTGTGCGTTTATCCGTATGTGTGTGTGCGTTTATCCGTGTGTGTGCGTTTATCCGTATGTGTGTGTGCGTTTATCCGTATGTGTGTGTGCGTTTATCCGTGTGTGTGTGTGCGTTTATCCGTGTGTGTGTGTGCGCGTTTATCCGTGTGTGTGCGTTTATCCGTGTGTGTGCGTTTATCCGTGTGTGTGCGTGGGAGTGCGTGCGGCATAATGCACAGTGGTGTTGTGGTTAGCGTTGCCCGTGCTCCGCAACCGGCGATCCAGCTTCGATTCCCGCTCATGGCCACCATCGGTGACGATTATAATTATCTGAACCGGTCCGGAGCCTCTGCTAGGTCGACTCGGCCTCAAATAAGTACCTGGTGCGGCGTGCAAACAAAGGCGGCCGGCCAGACATGGTTCTGGCCAGCCACCCCCCCAGTGTGCCGTGACGGGCATTCATAGGTGCTCACTAACAGCACTTGCCCCAACAGTCTGTTAAGGCTACACGGGGGAGCTTTGTCTTTGTATGTCAATGTATACATCTGTATGTGTGTTTGTGACTGCTGAGAGGCAAATAAGGGCGAAATCCCTCCCTGACCTCCCCCCACACCCCTTCCTCCTCCTCTCTGCTCCCCCCCCCCCCCCCCCCCGACTGAGAGGCCTAATATTGATTCCAGATGAGCAGAGAGACTGTGGCAGGGATTGTAATGGGTGATGGGCGACAGTGCATACCCCCTCTCCCGCCTGTAATCATTTCACAAAGACCATCATCATCATCACCACGATGCATGGGAAAATAGCCCCGTAGGTTGCCCCACTGCACATTTCATCATTTGTTTCCACATTACTTTTGTCTAAACTAAAACTATTTAACCTCAACTATTGTTATTTTACCAGCTAAGGGCCACTGAGCTATATAAACTAATTTTTGAGAAGCCACCTGACCACAACTGATAGCTCACCGAAGTGGCTTATCAACGTGGACAATTATCGCAGCCAAACGCACGTTGGCTCGAAATGTGGAGGAAAAAACAGGCGGACCCAGATAAAATCCACGTGACCACGGAGAGAGACACGCAAACTCCAAATATACAGCAGCAGGCATCAGGGTCAGGAAATGAACCCAGGGCCTCCTGCATACCAGGCAAGGTAGTTAACATCTCGCCACCTTCACCCTGTCTTGTGCTAAATATGCTCAAGTAGTGACACATCTTCCTGACACCAATCTCAAGTAGTGACACATCTTCCTGACACCAATCTCAAGTAGTGACACATCTTTCTGACACCAACATCAAGTAGTGGCACACCTGTGACACCAACCTCAAGTAGCGGCACATCCTTCTGACACCAATCTCAAGTAGTGACATCTTCCTGACACCAATCTCAAGTAGCGACATCCTTCTGACACCAATCTCAAGTAGCGACATCCTTCTGACACCAATCTCAAGTAGCGACATCTTCCTGACACCAATCTCAAGTAGCGACACATCCTTCTGACACCAATCTCAAGTAGTGACATCTTCCTGACACCAATCTCAAGTAGCGACATCCTTCTGACACCAA